GCTATAGGGAATTCGCCTATAGGTGGAGAAAAGAAGTGGCAAGGGTAAGGCCACCCATAACCGAGAAAGAAATCGTTGAAGTGTTCGTGTGTGCAAGAGCCGGAATATTATGATAAAATTATGTTGCTCATTGGAGCAAAATTTGCTGAGATATTCAATATTGGTGAGACTATCAAAGACGGTTTGAAATCATGAAAGATAGCCCGTGTAGCCGCATCACCTTGGTCTTCAGGTTTGCTGAGAAAGAAAAGAGTATCAGTTGTTTCTATCTCATATGAGAGAACAAAAACCCCTAGAAGCTTATCATATTCCCAAGGTCGTTCCTAGCCTTCCCCAAAGTCCTACCTATCTTGTTACACACAATCTAGTCATCCCAATAATCAGAAAACTACCTCCATGTATCCAAACGTCTAAGATCCCGCATACCAAAGTCCACCCCTCAATTACCAAAATCCGTTTCTCATTTACACAAATCATCCTCCACCATACAAAATTCCATCACCCTACCACGGTGTTGCTCCAAACTACGCTAACGTACAGTCGATCTACCGAGCACCCCCCTACTTTTATAAAGTCCAAGCTCTACAATACCAAAATTCTCCTTGGAATTACGAAGCTCCATCGCCAAATTAGCAAATAAATACATATCCCTCAAGCCAAGCTCCTCGTCCAAATACCTGAAATTATCAACAGGTGCCTCCTCCTCAACAAGGCAATTATGACCCTCCCCGACCCATATTTAAGAATGGACTTCAAGAAACTTTAATTCACTCGCTGAAAGCCGAACCAAACTGTATGAGAGACTGGCTGTGGCAGGATACATTCACCCTGTGGGGTCTAATGCCGTGGATGTCAATATCAAAATTCTACAAACACGATTAGAGATGTGCTTAACATTCAAATAGCGTTGGGCACGATACTGAAGATCACATCAACCTCAAGCACGAAATTCAGGATCTGATTGATTAGGAAGTAGTCTCTCTCCAACCAGGGGTACCAAATGTCAAAACAAACCCATTGCCGAATCATGGAGGAGGCAACGTCAAAATGATCAAGACTGATGAAGATTGGTGCGGTAAAAAGGTGATTACTCCCATTGTTCATGATGATTTGGAAAGGGCGGTCGCTTCTTTAAGCGTCAAAGAGAAGACAGAGTTTGTTAATTTGACACTTTAAAAGGTTGTTGCCTTGGTGCCATCAGAAACTCCTGTCAAGCATAATTTTGTTATTGAAACTATTGCTACTCAAGGCATGACCAGGTCTGGAAGGTGTTACACACCTGAACAGCTTGCTCTCGGAACACAGAAGAAGGATCAGACAAAAAGGCCGACAAGCGAAGGAGAAGCGGAAGAATTCTCGTGGAGGATGCAACCAAAGGATTATTCCATCGTCAAGCATTTGGAGAAGACTCAAGCTTAGGTATTCGTATGGGCCTTGCTAATGAGCTCTCAATCCCACTGGCAGGACTTAATGAAAGCTCTCGATCATACATACGTAACCGCTGGAACAAGCAGCGATAACGTGGCCGCCATGATTCATCATGTTATTATAGGGCACCGAATAAGCTTTTGTAACAATGAGCTGCCTGTTGAAGGGAGATCACATAACAAGGTGCTACACATACTGTGATATGACGTGAAAAGGTTGTCAACCGCATCTTAGAAGATGACAGATCTGGTCTGAATATCTTCCCGTTGTCGGCATTGAGGCAGCTAAGGTATGACCTTGGGAAATTGGAGCAAAACCAGGTCAACGTGAGAGAATTTAATGGGGTTCAAAGAGACACGTACGGAGCAGTGAATTTCACCATTCAAATGGGACCCGCAGAGTTCAGCGCGTAATTTCAAGTATTGGATATCGATACTAGTTACAACCTTCTCCTGGGAAGGCCGTTCCTCCATAAGGCTAGAGCCGTCCCCTCTACTCACCATTAGATGATGAAGCTCGCGTGGAGGAATGAAGAGTTGGTTATTCATAACAAGGGGAGTCACCTTGGCAGATCGGTGCCGATCATTGATGAGATATCGGGAGGTACAGATTTTTACATAGTGTAGCTGGTGAATGCCGCCGGTGAGGACTTAGACGCAAAGAATCCAATGTCTTCTGTGTATAAGATGATGGCCGCTGTGATGCTGCAAAATGGTTTTGATCCAGGGTTTGGATTGGGAAGAGATTCCCAAGGAATTATTGAGCTTATTCTGGTCCTCGTTAAGGGTTCAAGATATGGTTTGGGGTACATCCCCACAAATGGTGACATGAAGATAAAGAAGAAAAATGCTGAAGCCTTGACTAAGCGGATCCAACATATGTATCAATTCTTTCCATTCCGGGAGTACGCCGAGCATGAAGACCTTAGGAAAGGAGTATGTGACCTCTTCGAGGAGATCGATGTTGTTATCGAGGAAGAGGTCGAGCTAGATTGTATTTGCGATGCTAAACCGGGGGGAGGTGCTTTTAAACTGGACTTCTATGCCGATCCTAATACTCAAAACTCTTCGGTAGAAAGGCGTCATTCCATGCACATTAAAATTGGTGGTTGTCCGAAAGAGGCCCGAGACCCACTATTTTGGCATTTTCTTAACTGTTTTAATTTTTGACTTTCAGTTGTGATGTTCAAAAAAGGAAACATGGCCTCATGCCATTGCCAAAGTTTGAAATGTTTTTAAATGAAAGCCTCTTTGTATTTAACTTTATTTATTTAGTTCTTTGTTATACCCTACTTTCCTAATTTTGTCGGTTTATGATTTCAGTAACATTAATTACAGACCTGCCAATGTCATTTCATGTCACGAGCTAAGTGAACAAAATAAGGCAGGTGATGGCGAGGTTGACGATTACGAAGAAGAAAGTGAGGAACCAGATTATGTCATCGAGGAATTTTGGTAGTTCAAAAATCAACTTAAACCAAATCTAAAAGAATCAGAAACAGTGAATTTAGGAAATACAAAATGTGTCAAAGAAATTATGATCAACATCCATCTAAATAAAACTCAGAAAGAGGGCCTAGTTAAGTTGCTTGATAAATATACAGGGAAGTCAGTGATATCCAAAGGTTGAGTACCGATGTCATATCTCATAAGCTACCTATTAACTCGGGGTTCGATCCGGTGAAGCAGAAAACTCAGAAATTCAAGCGTGAACTGAGTTTAAAGATTAAGGCAGATATCACCAAGCAGATAAAGTCTCCTTTTGTAGAAGTGACACAATATCCAACTTGGCTGGCCAATGTTGTTCCGGTCGCCAAGAAATACCGGGGAATCAGAATTTATGTTAACTATAGAGATCTCAACAAAGCTATCCAAAGGATAATTCTCTGTTGCAGAATATTCATATTTTTATTGACAGCTATGCTAGGTACGAGATCCAGTCATTTGTGGATTGTTACGCATGCTATCACCAAATTCTGATGAATGAGAAAGACGCATAAAAGACGGCTTTCATTACACCTTGGGTTGCATATCACTATAGGGTGATGCTGTTCGGCCTCAAGAATGCCGGTGCCACCTACATGAGAGCAGGGACGACTATATTTAACGACATGATTCATAAGGAGATTGAAGTGTATGTAGACGACGTCATGATAAAATCCCACGAACGTTTGAATCATTTGACACATCTAAGGAGATTCTTCGATCGTTTTCTTTGTTACAATTTGAAGTTAAATCCCACCAAATGTGCTTTAAGAGTACTAGCCCGAAAGTTGCTGGGATTTATAGTTAATAGAAGGGGTATTAAGCTAGACCCTTCTAAGATTAAATAAATTCAAGAGTTACCTCTGCCGAAGACGAGAACAGAGGTGATGATTTTCTTAGGGAGATTAAACTACATCACTCGATTCATAGCTCAATAAACCGTGGTATGTGAGCCTATTTTCAAGCTGTTGAAGAAAGACGCCCTTAAAAAGTGGACTTAAGAGTGTGACACAGCTTTTGATGCTATCAAGAAATATTTGTCCAATCCACCGGTATTGGTTCCTCCGCGAGAAGGGAGTCCTTTGTTGCTGTACTTTTTTGTCTCAGATAGTGCATTCAGATGCATACTTGGTCAACACGACGAGAAAACAAATAACCAAAGGGTTATCTATTATACAAGTTAGAAGTTTACTCTATACGAGTGTCGTTACACTCTGGTGGAGAGAAAATGTTGTGATTCGATGTGGCTTGCCTAGAAGATGAGACATTACTTGTCTTTATATACTACATACGTGCCTTTATTTATATTCTTTCTATTATTGAATTTGGATAATGTTTCTAAAAAACTCTCTCTGGAAAAACACAATTCATCGAGTTCAATTTAATGTGCACCTTGATTTTTTTTTCAGGCAGCTTTTTTTACGCGTATTTAGCTAATGGGGCATTGGTCATAGCCGAAATTCATCGAAAGGATAAAACCAAAATAAAGAAGAGATTCCAAGGCACACCATAAGAGAGATTTATTATTTTTGTTTGATTCGAGATCAAAGATTAATTTCATCTATATTATATAATAATTATATTAAGTAGATTGTAGATTGATTTCAATGTATATCTATCAGATCATGGCTTCATGTACCAAATATTTCAATATTGTTGCATCCGGTATTTTTGTTTTGTTCCACCAGTGTGATGAAGAATAGATCCGAGAAAGAGACTTTCCTTTCCAGTCTCCTATTTATTTATTTATTGATTTTTTTATTTTGATCCATTCAAGTATATTTTCCAGAAAGCGATGCCGACCGGAAAGTTAGCTAAATAGAAAATGTTGTTGAGTGAGTTGGATATCATGTATTTGACTCAGAATGCAATAAAGGCACATGCTTTGGCTGATCATCTTGCAGAAAATCCCGTTGATGAAGAATATGAACCACTTAAGACTTATTTTCACAATGAAGAAGTATCGTTTGTGGGTGAGGATATTTCTGTAGCATATCCACGTTGGATATTGTTCTTTGATGGAGCGGAAAATAATCAAGGTAAAGGTATTGGAGCACTCTTAGTGTCAGAACCCGGTCACTCTATCCCATGGCGGCTAAGCTCCGATTTAATTGCACAAACAATATGGCCGAATACGAAGCTTGTATTCTTGGTTTGAAAATGGCCATCTACATGAATGTCTATGAGTTTTTAGTTGTTGGAGACTCAGATCTTTTGATCCATAAAGTTCAAGGAGAATGGTATGTGAAGAACCCTAAGATTATACCTTACGCACAATATGTGCAGAAGTTGTGCAGAAGATTTCATAAGATCGAGTTCAGACATACCCCAAGAATACAGAATGAATTGGCCGATGATCTCACCACTATTTCTTTGATGATTAAGCATCCGGATACAGATTATATTGATCCTCTGGATATAGAGTTGAAAGAACATCCAGTCCATTGTTCCCATGTCGAAGGAGAACCAGACGGTTTGCCTTGGTATTTTGATATAAAGAAGTTTTTGGAGTCAGGAACTTATCTCGAAGATGCTACGTCCAATCAGATGAAGTAAATACGCCGTATGGATCTCAATTTATCTGTAAGAAAGGAAATCCTATATAGGAGGACTCCATACTTAGGTCTTCTTAGATGTGTCGATGCCGTTGAAGCTGTGAAACTAATTGAACAAATACATCCTGGAGTTTGTGGCACGCATATGAATGGGCTCATTTTGGCAAGGAATATCCTACGAGCAGGGTATTTCTTGATGACTATGGAGAATGATTGTTGTATGTTCATGCGGAAAGGCCACAGATGTCAAGTGCACGGTGATTTGATCAGAGTGCCACCTCACAAACCTAATGCTATGAGTTCACCTTGGCCATTTGTAGCCTGGGTATGGATGTCATCGGTCCGATAGAGCCAGCCTCTTGTAACGGACACATATTCATTTTGGTTGCCATTGATTATTTCAACAAGTGGGTGGAAGCAGCTTCTTACAAGTCGGTAACCAAGAAAGTGGAAGATGATTTTGTTCGCAACAATCTGATACCGGAATCCATCATTACTAATAATGGTGCAAATCTCAACAGTCACTTGATGAGAGAGATATATGACCAATTTAACTTTACTCATCGAAACTCAACCGCTTATCTTCCCCAAATGAACAAAGCTGTAGAGGCGGCCAATAAGAATATCAAAAATATTTGAGGAAAATGACTGACAAGCATCGAGGTTGGCATGAGATGTTACCATATTCTTTATCGGGATACCGCACGACTATCAGAACATCAATTGGAGCCACTCTTTATTTGCTAGTAAATGGAACAGAAGCAATCATACCTGCTGAAGTCGAAATACCGTCTTTGAGAATCATACAAGAAGCTGAGTTAAGTAATGCTGAATGACTCAGCAAGTGGATTGATCAACTAACTTTGATTGATTATAATAGAATGGTTTCCGTTTTTCATGGTCAGTTAAATAGACAGAGAATGACTCATGCCTTTCACAAGAGATTAAGAGCCAGAAACTTTTAAATTGGTCAGTTGGTTCTTAAGCGTATTTTTCCTCATCAAGACGACTACAAAGGAAAGTTCGCACCGAACTGGCAAGGACCCTACATGGTTTGCAAAGTATTATTTGAAGGTGTTTTGTGTCTTGTCGGAGATGGATGACACCATATGGCCTAAACCCATCAAGTTAGACGCTGTGAGGAGATAGTATGTGTGAAGCTGCGGTTTGCATTTCTGTTATTTAGTTGTAATATTTCCATTTGCTTGTATTCGTTTTGTTTAAATTCATGTCCCTCCTGTAATGGACTACATCTGACTTGAATTCTCAAGAATGAGATACATAGGCGGCCTGTGTCGGCCTCGGTCACCGCATTTATCCCTTCTAAATATTCCTTTTTATTTGAACTAAGTTCGACCAGAATTCTCAAGGATGATATACGTAGGCGGCCTATGTCGGCCTCGGTAGGTTTCTTTTTAAATTTATATTTTGTTAACCTTGGAGGGGGAACAACATTTAACATGATTCCTACCTCAACGGGATATTTAGACGCCACAAGGGTTCGGTCATATCTCCCATAAGATTTCTAATCCTCTTTAGGATGGAAACTAGGATTGAATTTTTGAGGACTCAAAAATTCTCGAAAAAGAGATTCTTCCACAGTAAGTAAAGACAAAAGATATTTTGAGATTTACAACTGGGATAAAATTTCTGAGAAGATCTCAAAAATTCCACGATCTGCTCAGTTATAGTGGAAATATAAGCAAGACAGACAACTGGGAAAGAAATTTTGAGGATGACCTCAAAATTTCAGCACGGATTTAATCAGATAGACCTCAAAGCATCAGAATCAAAGAAGTTTGTTAATCCTGATATGACATGACTTGGCACAGACCCTTTTTTAGATACTATTTTTCAAAATTTGTTCCTCTTAAATTTTTGTTTTTTATGTTCCATTTGTTTTTGGCATAAAATATTTTCTCTTATCTATCAAGTGTTGGGAGATTGAGAAATCAACCGGAAATAGCAGGACAAGAAGCAGACAACTTAAGAAATTGACACAGATTAGTTCGTTTTTAAAACTAACAATTTTTTTGTGGACGCAGGTTAATGTCTTTGCTCTAAAACGATCAAGTTCTTCGGTTGGATGAATATGGAGAAGCCAAAGGAGGAGAAAACTATGCCAAAATGAATAGTTTTCCTAGAAACATGAAGCATTTTATATCACTTATTTTAGAGACTTGGAATGTGAATTGTTTATTTGAAATAAATTTCCTATGGAGTTTATAAAGAACTTTTAGCTAGATTCGAAGGAGAATCAAGCGAAAATCTCAAAGAAGAGTTTAAGGTTTCCGTAAAGGACGTCATTTGCATCATAACATCAGATATGATATTATGCAATACCCAAAGGGCTCAGTTATTTTATCATCGATCAAGACACTATTTTGAATTCGTTTACCTTTATCATTATTAGAGGCGATATGATTTTTCATGCATCGTGAATCAATATCCATGCATCGTGGAAGACAATGCATCGCTAATCAATATTTATGCATCGTGGAAGACCATGCATCACAATTAAATATTCATGCATCGCGAGTCAATATCAATACATCGCGGAAGACCATACATCGCGAGTCAATGCATCACGAATATCATGCATCGCGAGTCAATATCCAGGCATCGCAGGAGATCATGCATCAATGCATCGCGGAAGATCATGCATTGCCAGTTAATATCCAAGCATTGCGAGAAGATTTCATACCTCGCAGAAAGCTATGCATGACGAGTAGATTCCATGCCTCGTAGAAATTTATGCATCGCGAGAAGATTTTATGCCTCGTAGAAATTTACGTATCGCTGGAAGATATGCAAGTACCGCAAGAAGGCATGCAAAACTGTTAAAGGAAATTGTGCATCCCAAGATAAATATTTATAGATCAGCATCAACTGTACCATTACATTTTTTATAAAAGAAAACATCAAGAAGGGCATCAAAGACACATCAAGAGAAATGCTAGCACACTGCATCAACTTTCCTTTATGTTGACATCAAATGAAGAATACATTGAAGATTATATTGCAAACACAAGACGTAAGCTTTATTCGCTATACATCAAATGTCGGGGAAACGATTCAGTGTCAACACGGTAGAAGACATTGTCTCCCATTTAAATTGCATTTTTATAATGACGAGTTTTATCTTAGTCTTTTTCCTGAGCATCCTAAAGGATGGATTCTCCAAAAACCACAGGTGCGAACGACGTCAGAAAAGAATGAAGCACAACGTGGAACTCTTTCTTAGCAGCGAACTAGGACACAGTCTTAAGAGGAATATCAAACTCGTAGGACATGAGCAGAGGAGCAACTTCCACCGCAAAAACACTACACCGCTATTAGAAGGCATGTGAGTTTTCCTTCAAGTTCCGTCACTTTCTGTCTCGCATCTGGAGATTTCGATCTACCTGAAGCAAGTTTCCAATCTAAGTGACAGTGAGCCAAGAGTTCTTGAAATTATGTCCATGTAAGTTCTTGTATATGGATGTGAGCGCAGCACATTAATGCATCAGAGGTTACAAGACTCCTTTGCATACTTGCTTAATTTGTCACTTATCCAAAACAAAAGGTTGTCTAGCATAATAGATCCCCTTTTAAACCGATCGAGTTGAACTACAAAAAGCCTGATGCCTAATGTTTAAGGATATGTAGGCGAAATCAATGTTAAAACTCGGCTGTATTCCAACATTCGCTCTCAAATATTATTCTCGAGCATTTCGGTACCTTCATAATCCGGTATCGAGGTTTCTTTTGATTTCTTTCAAAAATCAAGCGTTAAATCTAGTGTATTCGAACTACATGTTGCTTGAATTCTCATATAGCCTGAGGATATGTAGGAGACCCATTTCCATGGCTCGGCCAGAGTCCGTAGCAATCCGTTTTTCTAAATGATGAATATGTGGTTGGTAAAAATTGGCTTGGTCAATTTCATTTCCCTCGAATTTCTTGCATCAATCCACATAAAATGAGGGACAGTTGTTGACACCCAATTTTGACCCTCCCCAATATAAATTAATCGCATCGAGCTTCTTAAATTCCAAAAGATTTAAAATTATTATTTTTATAAATTTTCAAGAAAATATTATATATAATATTTTGCAAGTTATAATGTTAAATATTTTTGTCACTTTTCTTCATAATTTTTCTTTTATTGATATATATGTTTAAACGACTACCGATAGGATTAGTTTATTTTATGAATATTTGAAGATCGTCTCAGGAAAGATTGTATTTACCTAAATAGTTTGTCGATTAGTTTGGTCATGCAGGGGTATATATTATGTTAACTAATTTATAATTAAGTCGATTAATTTATGTCGTTAAGATTACTTACCTCTCTGGCTAATTTATATTAATTCATTACCCTATCCCTAAACCCTTTCGCAAATCAAGTTTTGGGCCCCCTCTTTTTTTCAGCAAACCCAATTCTTTTGAAATCTTTCAGTGGCCTCCCATCAATTTGTACAGCTCCAAGAGGCCCAGTGTGCAACATTCATTTACTTTCAGTAAAATTAGCCCCAAAGTCCTGCCCACACTCCCTTTCCTTTAACTCCAAGGCCCACTTCCAAAATTCCCAGCCCACTCCCTTGTCACCTTAACCTGACCCACCCCTAAATTCCCGTAATTTTCCAGCGTTCCACCTTTACCCGACCCTGACCCGTCTCCTGTGTCTTCGTCTTCTTCAGGCAGCCACGCATTTCCAGCAGCAAGGCGCGTTCATTCCCCTCTCCCTTATCCTCTCATACGAAAATAGTACACGAAGGCCCCAGGTGTCGAAATCTCCCTTCCCTCTTGTCCTTCCTCTCAAATCGGATGTTCCAAACTTTTCTTTCCATTGAGCAATCGTACAGGATTGTTCTATTCAACCTCAACCTTATCCCATTAGTGTTTTTCAATTTAAAAATAGAACATGGAATCACAATTTTGCCCCGACCTTTTTCACGATTTCCTCCACTCTCCATCAGTCGAAAAACCCTACTCACTTGCTATAATATAAATATGGTC